ATGGATGGATGGATGGATGATGGATGGATGATGGATGGATGATGGATGGATGGATGGATTGATGGATGGATGGATGGATGGATGATGGATGGATGGATTGATGGATGGATGGATGGATGATGGATGGATGGATGATGGATGGATGGATGGATGGATGGATGATGGATGGATGGATGGATGATGGATGGATGATGGATGATGGATGGATGGATGGATGGATGGATGGATGGATGGATGGATGGATGATGGATGGATGATGGATGGATGGATGGATGGATGAAAAGAACAGAGGACTACAGATGAAAACTAGACTTTTTGCTAATTCTTTCTTTTTATAATTCATAAATTATCTTGTTTTATTAAACTACACCGACCACATTTAAATAAATAAATCAATTAGAGAAAAAATCCCAATAAAATACATCAAAGGTTTTGGTTTCATGTGAAACACTGAAAAGGGTTCATTTCAAAAGGCATAAAAACATAAAAAACACAGGTGTTGAATAAATGAAAGAAACATAAAAATATAATTTGGATGATTTGATGAAATGCGCTGGAGTTCTCCGTTGCTCCCGGCCATCTCCACAGACTGAAGTGTGACATCTCACCATTATTTTTAGACGTGTCCCGTACATTGACAGGCACAGACAGGAAGAGAGATTACTGCAGGAAAAGTGACCAGCCTTATTCATTTTGCTGTCAATGTGGTCTGCATCAGCAGCACCTCAGAGTACAGGCTGATCTTATGACAGGAGGAAGAGAGGCCCATTTATCTGTGCTGCTCAGACTGGATCTGCTCGCACCCTGCTTGGCACAGCAATCACATCATTGATTGCACACACCTCAGCAGATACATACATCTCGCACACACGCGCTCATATAGGAAACTCCTCTGGTGTGGGTGTTAAGATCATAACAAATGCTGATGAGTCATCTCTCTCTCTCTGTGAGCCCTCGCCGGCGTTTTGCTGCTGGAACAGTCCTCTCTACAGCAGGGGGAGATATATAGTACAGCTTGCTTTGTCTGCATGTCATGCAGCAGTGTCAGTTTTTCCCTGTGTGACTACACATGATCACATCATTTTGTGAAACATGCTTTTATATGACAAGGATGGGCTGTCAAGATAAAATAGCTCCAGTCTGCAAAGAACTTTTTGTTTTTTCCTTCTCTTTGTTGGGAAAGTGGGAGAGATATGTTTGGTGTCTCTCTGTCTGACCACTGCTCAAAGCCCTGATGCTCTGCAAAAACTCTCCGTCTAACCAAGTCTTACAGCCTTAGATCGAGCCAAAAGGTTTTTTTTATTTTGTTTGGAGATTGATTTACTGAGCAGATTCTGTTAGATTGTGAATGCTTTTAAGAAACGAGCCAAATTTATAATTCCTATCAAACGACCTGTTTGGAAGCTCATAATTGACACGGTATCTTAGAAAAACTGCTCTGTAGTCTGGGTGCTGTCATTTTAACTCGTTCTCCTTTGCGTTTTATTCAGGCTTAGTTAGATTGAATGAAGAAGCTCTAATGAAGATAAGTTCAACACAAGAACATCTTGTAAACAGTTTTAGTAGCTGCTGTTGGTTTAAAATGCTGGGAAGGGAACCTGTTGATGCAGTTTGCAGCCTCTAACAGGTTTTCTTGCAGGATTTAGCTCCACACCTCTTCTAATGAATCCTGACCAGCTCCTCTGCCTGCTGAAACAAGCATTCCCACAGCAGGATGCAGTCACCAAAGTTTTTCAGGCAGTTGTACGAACGTTTGTTTACATCATGCAGGTCTCATTTGACAAGAGCTCCTTTAACATGTTAATTCTGATGTCTACATGACTTATAGGAAATGGAAGTTTTCTTTTTTCTTAACTTTTTTATAGAGACCAATTTAGTGTGATCAGTGGCTAATAATCATCATTTTATCTGAACTTTGAATCTCTGTAGCTTCTCCAGACGTTCCATGGACGTACCACTGGCTGATTCCATGACTAATCGTTTATTTTCCTGTCTTTCCTCTTAGCTGTAGACAGTTTTGGTTCATCTTCATCTCCTGACGATGTTTGAGCAGAACTTCGGGAAATTTTCAAAGCTTTAGATGTTGTTCTTTAAGCTCTCTCTGCTCTAAACTCCTCCTCAGCTCCCTTCACATCCTATCACCTGTGTTTCTTTGTACTCACTATGTTCTTCTCTAAGGTTTTCTAAAAACTAAAGTCCTTCACAGAACATCTGAAATCACAGTGAGCTTAAATTACACACATGTGGACAATCTTCCAATTAGACCACATTGAAATGAAGCACCTTGCATTGATTTATGGATTTTTTTTTATCAGGGTGAAGGAGGGTAATATAAAGGGTTTATAGTGCTTCATTTTTCATTTGAAACAAAAAGGGAAAAAATGATGTACATTTATTTTGTGGTTTATCACAACAATTTGTTGTTTTTTAGTGATGAATTGAGAAACACATGAAATGGTTTCAAGATTATTGACACTTTTAAAAGACATTTAAAAGTTGTTTATGTTTGAATAAACCTTAGAACAATGTCTAAAAATAACATAATAGTGAAGAGTTAAAAGATAAGCAGTAAAATCCTGTAAAGTGTTTTAACAATATATAACTGTGGACCTGGAGAATAAATAACCAATATGCAGCTATGGACATTTTTCCAGTAATTTGAAAATAGCAGCAACATCAGATATGTGCAGAATGACAGCAGCAGGTTATTTAACTGACTAAGGTAGAAACTGAGCAGAATCAGCATGAATGGAAGAACTGGTTGAGGTTGTTGGGAACAGTGGTGGTTCTAGAGTCTTCCAGCTGCTGGGAGGAAGGATCTGTGATAACGCTCCCTGGTGCATTTAAGGTGCAGCAGCCTGTCCCTGAAGGAGCTGTCCAGTTCAGCACCAGCTTCATGCATGGGGGGGAGATGTTCATTTAGTTAGGATCCGTCTGTTTCCCACCTCCTGCACTGAGTCCAGAGGGTATCCAATCACAGCTGGCCTTCCTGATCAGCTGATCCAGCCGCTTCCTCTCAGCTACAGATGAACCGCTGCTCCAACAGACAGCTCCATAGAAGATGGCTGATGCCACAGCAGAGTCAGAGCAGATCTTTAGGAGCCCCCCCACCTCACCCCCTGCAGTCCAAAAGACCTTAGTCTCCTCAGCAGGAAGAGTCCATAGATTTAAAAAGAAGGTCTCTGAGTCACCTCTCTGAAACGCTACAGGTCTGCTTGGGTCAGTATGGCAGTAATGAAGCATGTCCAACTGAGAGGCCAGGACTAAATCCATGTAAGCAAACAGATTAATATTCACCTTTACATTAGTTATACCATGACCGTTTGTGAATAATTTGGAGGTAGTTTCAGTTAAATGAAAATGTGTAAAAAAAAAAATAAATAAATAAATATGTAAATCCCTTTTTTGTCCCACAGTGGGAAAAAATTCCCTCTCTGCATTTAACCCCTCCCCTTGAGGAGCAGTGGGCTGCCATTGTGCGGCTCCTGGGTAGCAGCGTGAGGTTAAGGGTCTTGCTCAGGGACCCAGAGTGGGGTTCAGACCGGGTACTTGCAACCATGCTCTAACCACTAGGCCAACACTCCCCTAAATTATAGAAATGTTGAAGATTCTGAAACCAAAACATGCTGTAAAAAATGAATTACTCAAATTCTAATAAACAACAATCTGTCAAAAACAGAAAAATATCCTGTGATTCATTGTCAATATCACCTAGTTCATGGTTTTTGTTCTACAGCTGAGTGATATCTTTAAAATAAAAAAGTGAAAAACTCAGTGAATATGCATTTAACTGCATTTTCTTTGACAACCAAAAATACAACAAAATACTTCCTCTTTTTTAAGATGACATGTGTGGTGAATTGGTGCTATATAAATAAACAGTATTAAATTAATAGCTTAATATCAGTTAAATTGTTTAAAACTTAACACTGTGCCCAATATTTTACAAATATTTCCTCCCATTCAGCCCGTCTGTCTTTCCTCTAACTCTGACCAGCTGCTCTGCTTCTGCTGGAAGGATCCCCACAGCATTAGGTTACCGTTTGAAGGTTTTTATGCTGACTGCACTGGATTTATTCAAATAAGGTGTATCAGCACTAAAGACTTAATACATATCATGTTATAGGATGTGATTAAGATGTTTCTGGTTGTAATGTGAGAATGTGAAGGGTATAAATAACGGCCTATCAGCTGCTTTCAGATTAGCACTTCACCTGGATGAGGATTTATTGTGGAACATGTGAAATACGTTTCCCTTTTTTAAGTAAAAAAAAAGACGGATTCGCAAATGCCTTCGTTTCTGAGTCATGCATCAAGCAGTGATTAAGTCATGCTGTAATGTGAAGGGATTGCGGACACCTCCTCCTGAACGATGTCTGTCAGCAGGATGAAAACAGTTTGTTTCACACACACACACACACACACACACCTAGATTTAATCACTCATTCACGCCGGTACACGGACTAGCACCAAGGCCAGCTCCGGAGAAAGGGAGCGTGAACTGCGCTGTCCGTGGTGCTGAAACTGGCCGCGCAGCGGAGATGGAGGCAGAAAGCTGTGCGTGAAGAGAACTACATTAACTGTGCGCGTGTGCTTGTGAGAGAAAGAATGCGCGCGTCAGTACGCGGTGACACCCCCACACACAGTCTTTAAGGCGCGTGGTGATATGCGCTGGGGGGCATGTGCCAGCGAGTGAAGATGACACATCTTCCTCATTCATTGATAAGAGCCGCCGCTGCAGCTGTATGATGATGATGATGATGATGATGATGATGGCAGCAGCCTGTAGGTTCATCCTTAGAGCAGCGAGGAGACACACGGATCCGCCACTGCTGCTCCTCATTAGCGGCTTTCATCAGTCACTCAGAGCCAACCTTACAGCCCGCTGCGCGGGGCGCGAGGGGAGCAGTCAGTGTGGCCTCCTCACCATCATCATCATCACCATCATCATCATCATCATTCTAAGCTCCAGCAGCGTGGTGCAGAGGCTCAGCCTTACCTTTCATCCAGTCCAGCACCTGCTTCGGTGTCCATTTACTGATCGGCTCCATAACCAAAGCCATGGTGTCACAGCAGCGGACTCAATGCGGGCGACATCAAACCATTTCCGGTCACATCTGGAATGAAGCAGCGGTTTGATGAGAGGGGAAAGAAAAACCAAAGTCCGGCCTGATTATCCCCATCAACGCTCCGCTGCCTGCAGGAACACTGAGCGAGATGCGCTGCTGCAATCCGCACACGCACGCCACGCTACCTCCTCCCTCCCCCTCCCACCTCTGTAGTCCTCCCCCCCCCCCCCTCTCTCTCTCTCTCTCTCTCTCTCTCTCTCTCTCTCTCTATCCCCCCCTTCTCTCTGAGTACCCCCCCTCTCTCTTTCTCTCTCTCTGTCTGTCTCTCTCTGAGTACCCCCCCCCCCCCACCTCTCTGAGTACCCCCCCCCCCTCTCTGAGTACCCCCCCTCTCTCTTTCTCTCTCTCTGTCTCTCTCTCTCTGAGTACCCCCCCCCCCTCTCTGAGTACCCCCCCTCTCTCTTTCTCTCTCTCTGTCTCTCTCTCTCTGAGTACCCCCCCCCCCCCCACCTCTCTGAGTACCCCCCCCCCTCTCGGGCCTTCCCGCCAGCAGCCTCGCGCTCTGTGAGATGTGGGTTCGGGGGGGCTGTGGGGAGAAGGAGCGACCCCTCCCCTCCCCTCTACTCCTCCCGCCTGCCTCGCCGCAGCATCACGAGGGGCAGCACGCATAATACGGAATGGTGCAACGCGCACCAACCAGGGAGAATGTGTCCTCAGACACAGAGAGACACAGAGACACACAGAGAGACACAGAGACACACAGAGACACACAGAGAGACACAGAGACACACAGAGACACACAGAGACACACAGAGAGACACAGAGAGACACAGAGACACACAGAGAGACACAGAGAGACACAGAGACACACAGAGAGACACAGAGAGACACAGAGAGACACAGAGACATACAGAGACACACAGAGAGACACAGAGACACACAGAGACACACAGAGACACACAGAGACACACAGAGACACACAGAGAGACACAGAGACACACAGAGACACACAGAGACACACAGAGAGACACAGAGACACACAGAGACACACAGAGAGACACAGAGACAGGAAGAGACACACAGAGACACACAGAGAGACACAGAGACACACACAGAGACACAGAGACAGGAAGAGACAGGAAGGGGAAACATGCAAACAGCCTATAGCCTTGATAGAAACAGTCATTTCGCTGCTTTAACTGAGACCAGGTGACTCTGCGCTGTTAGCAGATCACCGCATCACTGAGCTTTGGAGTCAGCAGCTTCCAGAAGTTCACTCAGTGGATGATGTTATCAGGCTAAAGACCTCAGCTGTGTGAAACAGCGCCCCCTGCTGTGGGATTTATGGACAGGTGACGTCATGGACTACATTCAGTAACAGTGGGCTACTTTCTAACCACCAAGATTATCCATCTGTGCAGCAACCCGTGTATTTGTGTGTCCATGTTTTTGTTACCTTGTGGGGACCAGTTTCTCAGGAATGAGCTACACTTTGGGGACTTATAGAGACTTGTGGGGACCAATGAGTGGCCCCCGTGAGGAAAGGTTCCTTTCTTAGGGTGGGGGTTAGATTCAGGACTAAGGTGTGACTTGAGTTCAGGATTAGGATTAGGTCTGTGCTGGTAATGGTTAGGGTGAGGGTCTGGGTTAGGACGTAGAGGTGAGTGGGAGATGAATGGAAGTCAATGGGGAATCCCCACAAAGATAGTGAGGCAAAACATTTCTGTGTGTGTGTGTGTGTGTGTGTGTTGGGGCGGGGGGGTCCTCTTTTAAACATTACACATTTTAAACTGACTAATTAAACCAAATTCACATTTTTGGCCTATGGGGGAAAGCCAGCGTACCTGCAGAGAGACGACTTACTCAAAGTAAGCAGAAAGACCCTGGAGGGGTCACTAAGACAGGACAGTTTTTATTAATTTATTAGTTTTAAGAATATTTTATACTCGGTTCAGTTTATTTTTAGACTGTTCATAACAAAACTGATCTCAGGGCACTTTACAAAAACAATTGAATCAAATCATCCAAACAGATTAGTAAAATAAATGCATCCAAGGAAAGCGTGCAGGTTGTAGTGATTGACTGACTGTTCAGGATTGGCTCCTCCTGGAGGAGCATGTTGGGACAGTTGATATTCACTTGCATTATGTCCTCCTTTCTGCAGTGATTCCTCATACATGCATGCAGCAGCAGTGGAGACGAAAAACTCAGTTTTAACAGAAGAAACCTCCAGCAGAACCAGACTAACTGGAGCCTTCCAGGGCCAACCGGGGGTTCAAGGGAAAATTAAAGCTTTTATCCATAAATACTTTTATATTTTAGAGAAGCTAACAGTAAACTAGCTCCTTAGGTGGCTCTGTCTGAAGTAGGTGAGCTCTGATACTGGCTTCAGGAAGGAGAGCACATCCAGTTAGTCACAGTAAAAGCTGAACCCATCTAGGAGAAAAACAGGAATGAACACTGAAAAACTAGTCCAACTCTGTTATCTATAATAACATTCACTGACAGCAGAAGCCTTCCAGGATTGTGTCACAGCTAGCCAGAACACCAGGCCAGATTAATCTGCTATGATGAGAAAAAACAGAGAATTTACTATGGATGTTAAAATACAACAAAATACTTTCAATATTAATTTTTAATTCAAAAGCTTAAAGTTTCTACATTGTCTCAAATCCACACAGGAGTTTTTTTTTTTCTCTACAGTATTTGCCCCCTTTTAATTCCAACAATTTCCCTTAAACTTTGATAACCCTGTCGCTGTTGAAGAAGAAGAATCCCACAGTATGATGCTTCCACCTCCATACTTGGCCACTCAGTTGGTGTGTTAATGCTGATGTGCGAGGTTCACTTTCTCCCACACATAAGCTCTTGCTAGTAGCCCAACATACTCAAGCAAGATTTCAGTGTGTGCCCTCAGACCTATTTCCAAACTTCTGTTTTTATCTAAAGTTGTGGAGAAGGTGGGATCTGATCACTTGGTATCCTTCCAGGAAAAATACAACATTTTTGTCACTTTTCAGTCTGGCTTCTGCAAGCATCCGGAAACTGAGCTGCTTAAAGTTTCCACATTACATCCATGACGTCTGCAGACTCTCTCTCAACCACCATGGTTGGTGGTCAACCAACACATTTGCTGACTAGATTACGTGACCTGGTGGGAATGTCGGGACCGGTCTTAGCATGGTTCTCCTCTTACTTATCAGGGAGGAGCTTTAGTGTCTCTGCAAACCAGATCCTGTCTGACTGCTGAATTGTTGTGTGGGGTTCCTCAGAGCTCTGTTTTGGGCCCAATTTAGTTTTTACTGTATGTCCTTCCATTAGGAAAAATTATTCAGAGATTTGATAATGTTTCCTATCATCTGTTTGCTGATGATATCCAGCTTTACTGCTCTTTTAAGTCCCCAGAGTATGGAGTCAGAAAGTAGTCAACATGGTTGTAAACTCAGAAATCTTAGTTTAAAGTGAAAAAATAAAAGTTGAAACAGAAGACATAGATGTTGATACTGAATGTGATTTGTTTTCATTATAATCTGAGGAACTTCAAAAGTAAACATAAAATAATAAGCATTTAATCTAAATTCTTCCCCTCAGCTTGAAAAAAGCGCATAATTCAGTTTATTATTTCAATCAAACTTTTTCCTTTTTTATTTCTCTTCTTTAGTGCATTATTTAGGACTGTTAGAAAGTATTTTTTAAAAGATTAAACCTCTCGATGCAGACGGCATCTTCAGTGAACGGATGCAAAATTTACATTGAGGTCATGGGAGTGTTCTTTGGTTTATTCAATGACTGCTTATTTTTATATATATTAACGCATTCTGGAAGGATTATTAGTGACAGTTCCAGTGTAAATGTCTTAAATCACGGGAATTTGCCAAAAAGGCAAATAAATGCTGTAGAAAATGTGTTCACCTAGTAGTTGGAGTTCCCACAGTCCATGAATGCAGCATGGAATGGGACATGTCTCCAGATGCTGCGAGCTGTCAATCACCTTTCCCCGCCCACTCCTGTCAGATTGGGGTCAAAATCTGAATGTGAAAAAAGTGTAAAAATAAACCTGAAACTGAAAAAGGAATTTGAAAAAAAAAAAAAAAAAGAAAATGAACGAAATGGATTTGAAACTGAAAATATAAAAATCTAAAACTGCAATAAAGAAAATAAATAAAAAAGAAAAAGTGTAATTAAGATACTAATCTGAATTATGAATTTGCTCAAACTGAGATGAAGAATTTAGATTGATTTCCTGTTATTTCATTTAGACTTTTTCAGTTTATCTTTTTCATTTAATCTTTTTCAGATTATTAATCATAAAGGTAAAAAAAATGACATTCAACTTCTGTTTTCCTGGTTTCAAATTTTATTTTTTCAGTTTTAAATAAGATTTGTGATTTAACAAACATTTTGGCACCTTTCTGACTCCATACCTGTGCTCCTTGCTAGATTTCTGAGTGAACAGAATGATCAGAAGAGTTGTCCAAGAGCCAAAGACCACTAGTGGGCAGTCGTGGGTGAGTGGTTAGGGTGTCAGACTTGGATCCCAAAGGTTACTGGTTCGACTCCCGACCCGCCAGGTTGGTGGGGGGAGTAATTAACCAGCGCTCTCCCCCATCCTCCTCCATGACTGAGGTACCCTGAGCATGGTACCGTCCCGCCACACTACTCCCTTGGGGCGCCATTTGAGGGCTGCCCCCTTGCACGGGTGAGGCATAAATGCAATTTCATTGTGCGCAGTGTTCACTTGTGTGTGCTGTGTCACAATGACAATGGGAGTTGGAGTTTCCCAAAGGGCTTTCACTTTCACTCACTTTCACTTAGTGGAGAGAAAGACCTGAAAACAATCAGTGACGCGGTCAGCCGCCATGGCCTGTAGCACGCTCACCATGCAGGACTCCACCGCTGAAGCTCCTTTAAAGTTTGCTTCAAAACATTTAGACCAGGCTGTGAAATACTGGGAGAATATAGTCTGATTAGATTCCGACAAAAGTGAAAAATGAATCCCCTGGACTTTGTTTCCAGGTTTGAAGACGTTTCTCTTTTTTCAATTCAAATGTCAGAAATAGCGTTTAGTTCCAGGTTTTATCCAGCAGCCCAACGAAGCCTGGTTTTAGTTTAGAAAACATGCAGATAGAAACGGATGAACGGGTCCCCCCCTTTGGAATGGGGGTCGTTTGGCTTCTTTGTTAGCCTGCAATGCCCCATACCTGTCTATGAAAGGGGGGTCGTTAGGGGAAATGGTTAGCCTGGCTGAACAGCTGAGGAACTCCTTGGATGCCATAATACACATCATGTTTTGAGGTCAAAGGGCACTGTACACCAGCCCAAAAAAACACCATAGCAACAGTGAAGTGTGGAGGTGGGAGCTTCATGGTGTGGGGCTGTTTTTCAGCAAACATCAAATCATTGAAGGAAGGATGAATGGAAAAATGTACCAAAACATTCTGGATAAAAATCTGCTGCCATCTACCAGCAGGATAAAGATGAAACGTTGGTGGACATTTCAGCAAGACGACGAGTCCAAACACACAGCCAAGGAAACTAGAGAAGAAATAAAGCTGCTAGAATGGCCCAGCCACTCAGCTGACTGGAATCTAATAGGAAATCTATGGAAATAACTAAAGATCAGAGTTCATAGAAGAGAAACATGAAACCTTCAAGATTTGAAGACTGTTAGTGGAAGAATGGGCCAAAATCACACCTGATCAATGCATGCCATTTATCTCTCCATTCAGGAGGCGTCTTATTGCCAACAAAGGCTTTTCTACAAAGTATCAAAGAAATGTCAGTAAATGTGCTCATTGCTTTTCCCTGTTCCATTACACTTAATTACTGCAGATCTATGTTTGGATTTCTATGTATGCGTGGATTGTTAGAATAAAAGAATAGAAAATCCCTTTATCACTATATTTAATCAGGGAAATTGTGGTTTGTTCAATAATTATTTTACCTGCATGTATACTTTTGATAAATTGTTACAGACATTTGTATTATTTAAAATGAAACTATTAATAAAATCCAACATGAATGTTGCTGTGACATTTTCATCCATACTGTGAACTTTCATCTATAGATGTATATCTGTAGATGTGGATAATTTGCTAAACAAACTCTTTCTTATTGTTCTACTTTTTTAGTTTAGTGTTTTTGTCTTTTTTTTTTTTTATAATACCTACATAGTGTTTCAGAATTCGACTTGTTCTGTTTTGGTTGATTTGAGATAAACAAATTTGTTTATTTAAGTTCTTAACTTTGTTTATAGACAAAACATAAATGCGTTCAATACAATGTTACAAAAACAAGTTAATTTTAAAATAGGATAATAAGATCAAATGTAGGAACTGGTGTGACGGCTCAGCCATCCATCTATAGATGTAGACCTAAATGTAGACTGAGGGAATTCTGGCATTTCTTTTTCAGTAAAGTAATATATATTACCTAGTTATTAGTGTTCTAGTTAGTGTTTTAGTTAGTGTTCTGGTTAGTGTTTTAGTTAGTGTTCTGGTTAGTTATCCTAAAATGGGCAGATTGTAGGAAGGAAGGATAATTTGGCCTCATCTCTATAGATTAATTTATGGAATAGTAAGAACCAACGGCGGTTAATCACAGCTTGTTAGTTGGAACTAATAATTCTTTTGACTCTTAACATGCAGATTATTCAGTCAGAATAAAACAGAACCTGTGAAATAAAGTAAATCATTAAAGTTTAAAGTGTAAACAGCTTCCAGCAGTGATTATAATCCCTATCTAACATCAGAGAACCCCCCTCCCAAAGGTGGGCGGGGCTTATGGGCTCAGCTTTCAGCCCCTTGCACCGTCACTGCCATGATTTCAGGCGCTGATTGGCTCCTGTCTACGCATACGTCACAATCATGAATAGAATTGATGATCGGACGTTGTGATTTAATTGTCTGGCTAAAACTGGGGAAGAAATCTGCTGATTTGGAGCGTCTCCCTGATTTTAGCCTCAGAAATGGAGGAAAGGAAGTGATTTTTGTTCCCTTTGGATCGGAAGCTGTCCTCAGAGCGGCTCCTTCCCGTCCGGAGGCAGGGTAGGAAAAATCAGAGAATTGAAGGAAAACTTTAGCTGCGGCTAACCACCGGGGGAGCTAGGCTAATGCTAACTAGCATGTAGCTGTCGGTGGGCCTGCGGGCCGCCGCGGCGGCGGGGCGGCTCCCCTCCTCCCGCTGCTGCTGCTGGAGCTCAGCTGGAGCTTCTGCTTCACTTCAGCTGTTTGTTCATGTCGCGATAAAGGCACATTTCTGACTGTTTTGTTTGCTAACAGCTGCTGCTGCCACGCGCCCTGCTGGCCAAAATAAACCCGCTGCTGGCTTCTGATTGGTCCATCAACCTGTCGCTCAACACTTCTCCTTTATTTCTGCTTTATTATCAGCTCATTTATAGGTTATAACAGAGGAACCAGTTTTGACTCCTTTAGATAAAGATTAATTAGTTTCCTAAAACTTTAAAATGAAAATAAACCTTTTAGTTGCTTGTTTTGTAAAATTCTAGATATGGTCACAGTTAGCATTTCAACTCAAGCTTAGATGAAGGATCCTGATCTCAGATATTAATGATTTATTATTTATCCAATCCTTATAAATACAGTTTAATTCATTAAGCTTTTATAGAATAATAAAATACTATCCAGGAAATAAAAAGTGACCCAGTAGATGACTCTTCTATCCTCTTTAACTTTTGTTTTCTCCTCAGAGGCGAGGAGTCTGGAGGCAGCAGCATGGATGTAGGAGAGATGGAGGAAGGTCTGTGAGCTGCATGGCTGCCTCCTTCCCCTCTGCTAGCGACATGGATGGGTGGCCGCAGAGACGAGGCCTGCAGACTGTGAGTATGGCAGGAAAAAAATTATTTAGTTTACTTAGAATGTGTTTGATGCTGACATCAGTCCTATTAGCAGCAGGGATGTGGTGTTCAGGGTGATGTGGTGTTCAGGTGGATGTGGTGTTCAGGTGGATGTGGTGCTCAGGTGGATGTGGTGTTCAGGTGGATGTGCTGTTCAGGTTGAAGTGGTGTTCAGGATGATGTGGTGTTCAGGTGGATGTGGTGTTCAGGTGGATGTGGTGCTCAGGTGGATGTGGTGTCCAGGTGGATGTGCTGTTCAGGTTGAAGTGGTGTTCAGGATGATGTGGTGTTCAGGTGGATGTGGTGTTCAGGTCGATGTGGTGTTCAGGACGATGTGGTGTTCAGGACGATGTGGTGCTCAGGTGGATGTGGTGTTCAGGTGGATGTGGTGTTCAGGATGATGTGCTGTTCAGGTTGAAGTGGTGTTCAGGATGATGTGGTGTTCAGGTTGAAGTGGTGTTCAGGATGATGTGGTGTTCAGGTGGATGTGGTGTTCAGGATGATGTGGTTTTCAGGACGATGTGCTGTTTAGGTGGATGTGGTGTTCAGGTCGATTGTGGTGTTCAGGACGATGTGGTGCTCAGGTGGATGTGGTGTTCAGGTGGATGTGGTGTTCAGGTGGATGTGGTGTTCAGGACGATGTGGTGCTCAGGTGGATGTGGTATTCAGGACGATGTGGTGCTCAGGTGGATGTGGTGTTCAGGTGGATGTGGTGTTCAGGTGGATGTGGTGTTCAGGATGATGTGGTTTTCAGGACGATGTGGTGCTCAGGTGGATGTGGTGTTCAGGATGATGTGGTTTTCAGGACGATGTGCTGTTTAGGTGGATGTGGTGTTCAGGTGGATGTGGTGTTCAGGTTGATGTGGTGTTCAGGACGATGTGGTGCTCAGGTGGATGTGGTATTCAGGACGATGTGGTGCTCAGGTGGATGTGGTGTTCAGGTGGATGTGGTGTTCAGGTGGATGTGGTGTTCAGGACGATGTGGTGCTCAGGTGGATGTGGTGTTCAGGACGATGTGGTGCTCAGGTGGATGTGGTATTCAGGACGATGTGGTGCTCACGTGGATGTGGTATTCAGGTGGATGTGGTGTTCAGGACGATGTGGTGCTCAGGTGGATGTGGTGTTCAGGATGATGTGGTGCTCAGGTGGATGTGGTGTTCAGGTGGATGTGGTGTTCAGGTGGATGTGGTGCTCAGGTGGATGTGGTGTTCACGATGATGTGGTGCTCAGGTGGATGTGGTGTTCAGGGCGATGTGGTGCTCAGGTGGATGTGGTGTTCAGGGTGATGTGGTGTTCAGGATGATGTGGTTTTCAGGATGATGTGGTGTTCAGGATGATGTGGTGTTCAGGATGATGTGGTGCTCAGGTGGATGTGGTGTTCAGGATGATGTGGTGTTCAGGTGGATGTGGTGTTCAGGATGATGTGCTGTTCAGGTTGATGTGGTGTTCAGGATGATGTGGTTTTCAGGACGATGTGGTGCTCAGGTGGATGTGGTGTTCAGGATGATGTGGTTTTCAGGACGATGTGCTGTTTAGGTGGATGTGGTGTTCAGGTCGATGTGGTGTTCAGGACGATGTGGTGCTCAGGTGGATGTGGTATTCAGGTCGATGTGGTGTTCAGGACGATGTGGTGCTCAGGTGGATGTGGTGTTCAGGTGGATGTGGTGTTCAGGACGATGTGGTGCTCAGGTGGATGTGGTATTCAGGACGATGTGGTGCTCAGGTGGATGTGGTGTTCAGGTGGATGTGGTGTTCAGGTGGATGTGGTGTTCAGGACGATGTGGTGCTCAGGTGGATGTGGTATTCAGGACGATGTGGTGCTCAGGTGGATGTGGTGTTCAGGTGGATGTGGTGCTCAGGTGGATGTGGTGTTCAGGTGGATGTGGTGTTCAGGTGGATGTGGTGTTCAGGACGATGTGGTGCTCAGGTGGATGTGGTTTTCAGGACGATGTGCTGTTTAGGTGGATGTGGTGTTCAGGTCGATGTGGTGTTCAGGACGATGTGGTGCTCAGGTGGATGTGGTATTCAGGTCGATGTGGTGTTCAGGACGATGTGGTGCTCAGGTGGATGTGGTGTTCAGGTGGATGTGGTATTCAGGACGATGTGGTGCTCACGTGGATGTGGTGTTCAGGTGGATGTGGTGTTCAGGTGGATGTGGTGCTCAGGTGGATGTGGTGTTCAGGACGATGTGGTGCTCAGGTGGATGTGGTATTCAGGACGATGTGGTGCTCAGGTGGATGTGGTATTCAGGACGATGTGGTGCTCACGTGGATGTGGTGTTCAGGTGGATGTGGTGTTCAGGACGATGTGGTGCTCAGGTGGATGTGGTATTCAGGACGATGTGGTGCTCACGTGGATGTGGTGCTCAGGTGGATGTGGTGTTCAGGACGATGTGGTGCTCAGGTGGATGTGGTATTCAGGACGATGTGGTGCTCACGTGGATGTGGTGTTCAGGTGGATGTGGTGTTCAGGTGGATGTGGTGTTCAGGTGGATGTGGTGTTCAGGTGGATGTGGTGCTCAGGTGGATGTGGTGTTCAGTTGGATGTGGTGTTCACGATGATGTGGTGCTCAGGTGGATGTGGTGTTCAGGGCGATGTGGTGCTCAGGTGGATGTGGTGTTCAGGGTGATGTGGTGTTCAGGATGATGTGGTTTTCAGGATGATGTGGTGTTCAGGATGATGTGGTGCTCAGGTGGATGTGGTGTTCAGGATGATGTGGTGCTCAGGTGGATGTGGTGTTCAGGATGATGTGGTGTTCAGGTGGATGTGGTGTTCAGGATGATGTGCTGTTCAGGTTGATGTGGTGTTCAGGATGATGTGGTTTTCAGGACGATGTGGTGCTCAGGTGGATGTGGTGTTCAGGATGATGTGGTTTTCAGGACGATGTGCTGTTTAGGTGGATGTGGTGTTCAGGTCGATGTGGTGTTCAGGACGATGTGGTGCTCAGGTGGATGTGGTATTCAGGTCGATGTGGTGTTCAGGACGATGTGGTGCTCAGGTGGATGTGGTATTCAGGTCGATGTGGTGTTCAGGACGATGTGGTGCTCAGGTGGATGTGGTGTTCAGGTGGATGTGGTGTTCAGGACGATGTGGTGCTCAGGTGGATGTGGTATTCAGGACGATGTGGTGCTCAGGTGGATGTGGTGTTCAGGTGGATGTGGTGTTCAGGTGGATGTGGTGTTCAGGACGATGTGGTGCTCAGGTGGATGTGGTATTCAGAACGATGTGGTGCTCAGGTGGATGTGGTGTTCAGGTGGATGTGGTGCTCAGGTGGATGTGGTGTTCAGGTGGATGTGGTGTTCAGGTGGATGTGGTGTTCAGGTGGATGTGGTGTTCAGGTGGATGTGGTGTTCAGGTGGATGTGGTGTTCAGGACGATGTGGTGCTCAGGTGGATGTGGTATTCAGGACGATGTGGTGCTCAGGTGGATGTGGTGTTCAGGTGGATGTGGTGCTCAGGTGGATGTGGTGTTCAGGACGATGTGGTGCTCAGGTGGATGTGGTTTTCAGGACGATGTGCTGTTTAGGTGGATGTGGTGTTCAGGTCGATGTGGTGTTCAGGACGATGTGGTGCTCAGGTGGATGTGGTATTCAGGTCGATGTGGTGTTCAGGACGATGTGGTGCTCAGGTGGATGTGGTGTTCAGGTGGATGTGGTGTTCAGGACGATGTGGTGCTCAGGTGGATGTGGTGTTCAGGTGGATGTGGTATTCAGGTGGATGTGGTGTTCAGGACGATGTGGTGCTCAGGTGGATGTGGTGTTCAGGATGATGTGGTGCTCAGGTGGATGTGGTGTTCAGGTGGATGTGGTGTTCAGGTGGATGTGGTGCTCAGGTGGATGTGGTGTTCAGGTGGATGTGGTGTTCAGGATGATGTGGTGCTCAGGTGGATGTGGTGTTCAGGGCGATGTGGTGCTCAGGTGGATGTGGTGTTCAGGGTGATGTGGTGTTCAGGATGATGTGGTTTTCAGGATGATGTGGTGTTCAGGATGATGTGGTGTTCAGGATGATGTGGTGCTCAGGTGGATGTGGTGTTCAGGATGATGTGGTGTTCAGGATGATGTGGCGTTCAGGATGATGTGGCGTTCAGGATGATGTGGTGTTCAGGATGATGTGGTGTTCAGGTTGATGTGGCGTTCAGGTTGATGTGGCGTTCAGGATGATGTGCTGTTCAGGATGATGTGGTGTTCATGTTGATGTGGTGTTCAGGATGATGTGGTGTTCATGTTGATGTGGCGTTCAGGATGATGTGCTGTTCAGGATGATGTGCTGTTCAGGATGATGTGGTGTTCATGTTGATGTGGTGTTCAGAACGATGTGCTGTTCAGGTGGATGTGGTGTTCAGGTCTATGTGGTGTTCAGGATGATGTGGTGTTCAGGATGATGTGGTGCTCAGGTGGATGTGGTGTTCAGGACGATGTGGTGCTCATGACGATGTGGTGCTCGGGTGGATGTGGTGTTCAGAACGATGTGGTGTTCAGGTGGATGTGGTGCTCAGTTGGATGTGGTGTTCAGGACAATGTGGTGTTCAGGGTGATGTGGAGTTCAGGTCGATGTGGTGTTCAGGGTGATGTGGTGTTCAGGATGATGTGCTGTTCAGGTTGAAGTGGTGTTCAGGATGATGTGGTGTTCAGGTGGATGTGGTGTTCAGGATGATGTGCTGTTCAGGATGATGTGGTTTTCAGGATGATGTGGTGTTCAGGTGGATGTGGTGCTCAGGTGGATGTGGTGTTCAGAACGATGTGGTGTTCAGGTGGATGTGGTGCTCAGTTGGATGTGGTGTTCAGGACAATGTGGTGTTCAGGGTGATGTGGAGTTCAGGTCGATGTGGTGTTCAGGGTGATGTGGTGTTCAGGATGATGTGCTGTTCAGGTTGAAGTGGTGTTCAGGATGATGTGGTGTTCAGGTGGATGTGGTGTTCAGGATGATGTGCTGTTCAGGATGATGTGTTGTTCAGGATGATGTGCTGTTCAGGATGATGTGGTGTTCAGGTGGATGTGGTGCTCAGGTGGATGTGGTGCTCAGGTGGATGTGGTGTTCGGGACGATGTGGTGTTCGGGATGTTGTGGTGTTCAGGGTTATGTGGTATTCAAGGTGATGTGGTGTTCAGGATGATGTGGTGTTCAGGTGGATGTGGTGTTCAGGATGATGTGCTGTTCAGGATGATGTGCTGTTCAGGATGATGTGTTGTTCAGGATGATGTGTTGTTCAGGATGATGTGGTTTTCAGGATGATGTGGTGTTCAGGTGGATGTGGTGTTCAGGATGATGTGCTGTTCAGGATGATGTGCTGTTCAGGATGATGTGTTGTTCAGGATGATGTGGTATTCAAGGTGATGTGGTGTTCAGGATGATGTGGTGTTCAGGTGGATGTGGTGTTCAGGATGATGTGCTGTTCAGGATGATGTGCTGTTCAGGATGATGTGTTGTTCAGGATGATGTGGTTTTCAGGATGATGTGGTGCTCAGGTGGATGTGGTGTTCAGGACGATGTGGTGCTCAGGATGATGTGCTGTTCAGGATGATGTGTTGTTCAGGATGATGTGGTTTTCAGGATGATGTGGTGCTCAGGATGATGTGCTGTTCAGGATGATGTGTTGTTCAGGATGATGTGCTGTTCAGGATGATGTGTTGTTCAGGATGATGTGGTTTTCAGGATGATGTGGTGTTCAGGTGGATGTGGTGCTCAGGTGGATGTGGTGTTCGGGACGATGTGGTGTTCGGGATGTTGTGGTGTTCAGGGTTATGTGGTATTCAAGGTGATGTGGTGTTCAGGATGATGTGGTGTTCAGGTGGATGTGGTGTTCAGGATGATGTGCTGTTCAGGATGATGTGCTGTTCAGGATGATGTGTTGTTCAGGATGATGTGGTTTTCAGGATGATGTGGTGCTCAGGTGGATGTGGTGTTCAGGACGATGTGGTGCTCATGACGATGTGGTGTTCAGCTTGATGTGGATTTAGTGATCAGTGTTTGGGTTTAAAAACGGCCGGCTGCTACCATGATGTCTTCACCTTCTGTGGACGGTAGCGACCTGGAAGCTAATGCTTCAGGGGCTGGGTTATGGCCATCATGGGAAACAGAAGAGTGAGGAGGTTGTGGGTAAAATCAGTTTTCTCATCACAGATCTTAGCATTATTCTAGCTTTGGCATTCCTTCCTAATGACGCGCTGCAGTGGTGTCACAGTTTAAAAAGCCTCCCTCTGCCTGGCTCTCAGATGAACCTTCGCTCAGTGTTCACGGCCGAACAGCAGAGGATCCTGGAACGCTACTATGACAACGGGATGACCAATCAGAGCAAGGCCTGCTTCCAGCTCATCCTGCAGTGCGCTCAAGAGGCCAAGTTGGACTTCAGCGTCGTTCGGGTATTTTTTAATGCTTTGTTTCAACATCTTTTTAATATTTTTATTATTATTTTACTATCCCCCTATTGTGTTGAGTTGTTTGTTTCATGATGACCGTGTTTGGATGATGCTTCCTGAACGGCGGTCTCTGTTTCCCGCAGACATGGGTCGGCAACAAGAGAAGAAAGCTGGCCTCCAAGGTTGAGCAGAATGGAAGCGCGTCTCATTCCTTGTCCAGTCACGGATTAGTGGGAGGGTTACTGTCCAGTCCCACGCTGGCTGGAGGGGTGCTGTCCAATCACAGCCTTGGGACGGGGGCGCTGCTTCCTGCTGATCTAGCCGCCGCCCGGAACATCCAGAACCGCCTGCACCTCCTCCCCCCATCCTCGTCTTTTCCCGCTCTCTCCTCAGCGTCTTCCTCCCCCTCATCATCCTCACCTCTCAGCAGCGGAAACAACAAAAGTAATAATGATGTGATACTGACTGGGATTTACTCTCTAAACTCTGCCCCTCGCTCCCGACCGAGACCCTCAGCCGCCCCATCTCAGTCAGACTCGGAGCTTTCCATCCGCTCCTCTTCCTCTCTGATCACCCAGGCTCTGCAGAGCAGAAGCACTTCCACATCCTCACCCATCCACCCCAAAATAATGACCCCGCCCTCTCAGACTCTCCCGTCACTCACGTCTGCCTCAGGACCCTTAGTCTACACTGCAGTCAGAAAGGGCACTTTATCCAGTGGGGAAGGGGGGGTAAGTGCTGGGACAGGACCAGTACCCCACAGCTGGACTAGACAATACGGTACAGTACAAGCTCGGCCTTGGCCGTCCTCTTCTTCACAGACTGGAGCTCAGCTTCAGCCCAGACCTCACTCCAACCCACAACCTCAGCCTCCTGCACCGCAAAAGCCTCGGGCCCCCCTCCCAGCCCAGAACGCCAGCCCCTCTTCTGAGATGGCCCCTCGGATTCATCAAGTCTTCACCCTGTCAGGAAAGTCTGACTCAGAGCGGCCAAGATCCGGGCAGGCATCTGCTCTGAGAAGCCAGGAATCCTTCAGACCCACTCCTCTCCCTCTGGACGCAGGTCATAACTTCTCCATTGCCATGGAAACAGGAAACGAAGAGGACGAATGGCTGAGGGAGGAGGAGCTGGCCAACATGGCCGCCCAGACACACATCTACAGGGAGCAGGCGCTGAGCAGCCCGGTGGGGGCTGAGGGCTCCATGGTCAAAGGAAACCACACTCCTGCTGCGGCTGGCTCCAGATCAGCAGCGCATCCCAGCAGCGCGGCGCTCCAGGGCAGCGCGGCGCTCCAGAGCAGCGCGGCGCTCCAGAGCAGCGCGGCGCATCCCAGCAGCGCGGCTCTCCAGGGCAGCTATTCCCTCACAGTACAGACCTCCATCACAGGGGAGCCCAGCTCACAGGTAGGACACCTTCTGGTTTCACGGTCTTTAAAAGCTGAAGAGTATTTTAAGGTGCGTGTCTTTAAACAGGCTTCGCCCGCCGTGTCTGCTGCTCCGTGGGTGATCAACAGCTCCAGGAAGAGAACAGTAAGTATTGGAGCAGCTTTTCTAACCTGGTTTATGGTCTGGGACATTCCAAAAAAAACATCTGAGTCCTAAATCTGGTTTGAGATGCATGAGGAGCGAGTCCAGACTAGGGATGGAACGATTTATGAAAACCGTCAGAATCGTTCGGTTCGACTGTCTCGGATCGGTTCGCGTGTGTTTCGTTCGGTTCATGCGCTGCTCCTTTTTCTCATAGGCGAAGCGTTTACACTCCAGAGCAGAAGGTGGCGGTACTGCGGCCAAAGCCAACCACCAGTAGTAAACAAGAAGAAGAAGAAGCGAAGCAGCGTAGCCGGGTGTAGCAGAAAAAAATCAGTTGTTGTGGAGAATTGTGTGGGTATGGCGAGTGGGAAAGAACAGGAGTTGGAAGACGCGCCAGCAGCACTTTATAGGTCTGCTGTATGGGACCACTTTGCATTTAGAGTGACCTACGATGACGGCGGAAAGAAAGCTGTGGATAAAAGTGCAACAGTGTGCAAGCATTGTGCAACACGTTTTGTTTATGCTCACAGCAACACGACCAACATGTCATGCTAACCCCGAAATCCCACATACTCCGTCAGCAACCCCCGCTGCGCTCCAGACCGGCTGCTCAAAGCAAAGCCTACATCACCCACTGTGGCTTCGTCTGCTCCCCTCTGAGTTCCTTGGAGATGGTAGAGAGCATGTAACCTGACAACAGCCAGATGCATGTGGCGGAGCGAGGCATGAGCGAGACATGCATCTGGCTGTTGTCAGGTTAGAGAGCATGCGCCAGATGATTAAATTCAAAGCAGCAAAACATACGGAAATGATCCAGGGTTTCCGCGGATCATTTAAAATAATTACAATCCATTATTTTTGGGGGGATTTTTTCATTAATTTCATAATTTTTTATGGAATTTCGGTGTAACAATCAACATGTATCGAATCGAACCGAAAACCGTGACCAGAAACCGTGAATCGAATCGAACCGTGGATTTTGTGAATCGTTCCACCCCTAGTCCAGACAGACTGGATGACATCGTCTAACAGCGCCGCCTCTGACAGACTGTCTTCCTCCTCCTGTCATCATCCATCTATCTGCGACTGGCTGACGAGTATAAACGAGTCTGACTCGTTAATGTTATCAGCGTTGCTAAAATATTTGAAAACTTTATTTCTTCACTAAACTGAAGAAGCAACTAATTTAAAATCATCTGAATCATAGAACTGCTGTGATGAACAGCAGCAGAAGCTGCAGGTTACTGCTTATGTCTCAACGTCAGTCTTGTCCTTCCTGCTTAGATACGAGCTAACTAGCCTGAGCTAGCCCGAGCTAGCCTGAGCTAGCCTGAGCTAACCCGAGCTAGCCTGAGCTAGCTGGTTCCTTTTAGAGGGAGGAGTCTTTCCTTTGCAAACATCTCCAAACAAACCGAAGCCGTTGAACATGCGGACCGAGGGCCGCGGCGTCTGCATAGAAGCTGCTGGTTTCTCTGATCCTCCATCAGTCTGACCTCTGATCAGTTTTCCTCTTCATCATAGATCTCAGGGTTGCTTAGAAACGCCTTTAAACCTTTCCTTTGGCACCGGACCTCTTGTGATGTTTCAAACTTTCATATTTTTTAAGAAGTTCAATCATTTACTGGAAGTCAATTATTGCAGAGCGTTTGTCTCATTCTTTTTATTAAATTGATGGTAAATAACCTTCCTGCTCTTAGCTGCAGGATCGGACTCAGTTCAGCGACGCCGACCTCATCCAGCTGAAGCGCTACTGGGACCGAGGCATGACCAGTCTGGGCTCGGTGTGCAGAGAGAAGATCGCCGCTGCTGCCAACCAGCTCAGTGTAGACACTGAAATAGTCAAGGTAACAGAGGACAAACTTTAACGGCGTAGATTGGTGGAAACCAGGATCCTGGTGGCCCACGCTGTGACACAGAATGTAGAGCGAGGGTAGATCTTCCAGATCAGTCTCTCCTCCTTTAGTAGATTCCCTGCTAGCTTTGTCTGCTCAGAGGACACAACCTTCAGTCATCAACCATTTGGTTCAGTAGGAATGGATTTCATTTGGTTGGTTTGTCTTGTTTTTATTTAGCTTTGGTCTAATGAGTCTGAATAGACAGAACCAGAGGACCTGAGGGACCAGAAGCTTTTCTGGGTTTACAGATGTTTTCTTACTTGTTTACATGAAGTATTTTAAAAAGCATGCAGTAATACATCAGTGCCACCGTAGGAAAGGCTAAATATAGGCGGCCTGTGCTTCTCTCACCCCCCATTACATTCCCACTCCCAAAGATGGAGGCATCTAAGCATCTGCTGGTATAAAACCAGCAAAGGTTAGTGAAGCCTGACAGCCTTTCATCCAGGAAGGTTCAGGTCTGAATAGGTTAGAAACAAACGAACCTTCCTGTTCTGTTGTCTTTCTCACTTCATTCTTTCGAGTTCTTTATCTATTTGAGCTTTGATGTAAACGTGTTCCGGAGCTTTAAGTTCAACATGCATGATTGTGTTTATAAAGAAATGAGACTTTCAGTTGTTTCTCTTCTGCATCTTTCTTTGGGAATCTGATTCCTTTCTGTCCTCTGCTGTTTTCTCACTCTTCAGACATGGATCAGTAACAGACGGAGGAAGTACCGTCTGATGGGTATTGAAATCCCTCCTCCTAAAGGCGGGCCGGCTGTATTCACCAGCTCATCTCCAGAAAGTCAGTCTCCTTCCGCCCTTAGCCCGGACGGAGAACCGCACAGAACACCCGACCTGGCGGACGAGCTGAATGATTGCAGCTCTGCCTGCATGTCTGAAGGTGAGCCGGATGCTGCTTTGCACACCTGGAACACGTCATCAATTCCTCTGGACTCACCCTTTCTTCTCTGATGCAGACGGGACTGTTGACTCGCATCACAGAGACGGAGATGATGAAACGGAGATGTCCGCTGCTGCTCCGCTGGCCAATAATGTGGTACTTCAACAATCTTTGATATTACAGGGGAACGTCTCAGAGTTTGAACCTCAGGAGGGATTTCATTGAATTGAAGGTTGCCGGTCCTCGGGGCAGAACTAGAAACTACATGACTGGCTGAAGCTCAGATTGAACAGACAGCACGTGTTAGCATCAGGTCTTCCAGATCTAGATGTTTTATATCTATGCTCTAAAACACAACTATGCTTTGATCCAATTCTATTCAGTTTATTTCTATAGCTCCAATTCACATCATTTAATCTCAGGTCACTTTCCAGTTCCCCAGATCATCCAGTCAGATTGATTCAAAGTTTTCTATCTAAGGAAAACCAGCTGATTGCATCGACTCATTGACTCTTCAGCAATCCCTCACACTAAGCATGCTTGTAGCGACAGTGGAGAGGAAAACCTCCCTTTGAACAGGAAGAAACCTCCAGCAGAACCAGGCTCAGTGTGAGCGGCCATCTGCTGAGGCCCACTGGGGTTCAAGGAGACAGAAGCAGACATAGAAAAAGAAGCATAGATACAAAAGGCAACTGTCAACCAGCTCCACAGGCGGCCCCCGTCCAGGAAACACACAGCCAGGCAGACGAGCTCCGAGCCAGCTCCCATGTCAGAGGATGAAGAGAGCACATCCAGTTAGTCACAGTCAGAGAAACAGGACTACACTGGAAAACAGGCCAAGCTCCAACATCTAGAAACAAAGGTGTTGATGGCAGCAGCACAGCTGATATTTCTCTCCAGGATGGAGTCACAGCCAAACAGGAACAGACCAGATGAAGCTACTATGAGAAAAAGCAGAGAGAGCAGAACGTTAGAGATTGAACTAACAGATTCTGCAGAGTGGGAGAATAGAGATAGAATGAAGCAGAATGATGAAAAAGGGGTCCCTATGTCCTCCAGCAGTCTAAGCCTATAGCAGCAGAACTATAGAGATAGATCAGGATAACCTGAGCCACTCTAACTAGAAGCTTTATCAAAAAGGAAAGTTTTAAGCCAAGTTTTAAACCTCTTCTTCATCTGGGATTTAAATGACAGGTCCTGATCAAAAACAACACCAAGATTTTTTACTTTATTATCTGAAATCAGTTTAATCCCATCCAAATGAAGTGACTGACTAATCAGCTTCTTTTTCAGAGACTCTGGTCCAAAGACTATAACTTCTGTTTTGTCTGCATTCAGAAGCAGAAAGTTAAGAGTCATCCAGGTTTTTATGTCTTCAGACATGCCTGTAATCTATGTAATGGGTTAGCTTCATCTGGATTTATAGACAGATATAGCTGGGTATCATCAGCATAACAGTGGAAATTAATCCCATGCTGTCTAATAACTCTACCGATTGGGAGCATGTATAAAGTAAAGAGAATTGGTCCTAGCACTGATCCCTGTGGTACTCCACAGGTAACCTTTGAGCGTGTTGAAGATCTATCATTAACATGAACAAACTGAATTCGATCAGATTGATCAGATTTAAACCAGTCTAGTGCTGTTCCTTTAATTCCAACAAAATATTCAAGTCTTTCTAAAAGAATATTCTGATCAACTGGATCAAATGCAGCACTGAGATCCAACAGGACGAGCACAGATACAAGTCCATTATCTGAGGCCATGAGAATATCATTGGTGACTTTCACCAGAGCTGTTTCAGTGCTATGATGAGCTCTAAAGCCAGACTGAAACTCTTCAAAAAGTTCATTATGGTGGAAGTGATCGCACACTTGTTTGGCAATTACTTTCTCAAGAATTTTAGATCAGAAAGGAAGATTGGATATAGGTCTATAATTGACCAAGTCATCACCTCACCTCTGGCTCTTTGTTTGGTTTTAGGCCAATTTAGGCTTTTTTGTTTTGCCCTGATCTGGAAAAACTTCACCATTTCAGAATTTCTATTTCATTTTTATTTTTGAAATATTTTTTTAAAGTTATAATTATTAAATACGGCCAAAGTTTTTCTCTTTTTTTCATGACTAAAAGCGAAGGTGTTGACAGATCCTTCCACCTGAGCTGTGAGTCTTTCCAGATCCTCCAGAGACACCCTGGGCCTCCAGGCTGCCTCTTGTGAGCTGCTCTTTATTTCAGAGATTAATGTCTCCTGAAAGCGTTACGCTGCGTTCCCTCAGCCGCCTGAAGTCTTTACTCATACGTGACCTGGATCTGATCTTTTCATGACAGTCACTCAGGAGCCCAGAGTGGCAGGCTGTGGGAGTGGGCTTCCCACAGCCTGCCACTAGGCCGCCACTCCCCTCATATACGTCGCATATATTTGGAAATGAATGGATCTCTGCAGTCTGAGCGCAGCCTTAGATTATAAAAGAAGACTGAACACAAACAGCCCTTCTTATTTTAAGGTCTGTTACATTATCTCTCTGGGAAGTGGTGTTTTAGTCTGGAACATAAAACCTGGAAATGTTGATGTAAAGCCGTGCTGCGCTGCGGGGCAGCATGGCGGACCTTTCCTCAGCGATCGTTGTGATCTGTGTCTTTTGACAGAAGGTTGAAGTGATCGATGAGGATGAAGAAGCGGATGAAGACGGCGACTTGATGGCTTCAGACCTGGAGCAAATGCAGAACCTGCTGGAATTCAAGGTGGAAACACGTTGAGAATAAATCAAGGAGGTGTTTGTGTGGAAATGTGAAAGTAAAGCAGTGTGAGAGCAGCATTAACGTTTGCCTCATTGAACGCTTCTGTTTCAGCACGAGGAGGTGCAGTTCTTAGAAAACGAGCTAGAGAACCAAAAAGTCAAATATCAGGAGCTTGCAAACTTCACAAACAGCCTGCTCAGCGCCGTGAGGGACAATGACCTGGCCAGGCAGAAGGTGCGTTTAAAGTTCTCATGGTGCAGGAAGACTGATTGATTCTTTCTGACCTGAATGTGTCGACTGTTTAGGAACTTTTGGCCAGTCTACCTCAGCCTTCAGACCAGGACTGGGACACGACTGTGGAGAAAAGAGCGCATCCCACCTCCAACCACCAAACGCAGACGGACGGCTCGGCTCAGGATGATAAAGGATTCCTGCTGGTCGACGTAAACGAAGGCGACGCAGCGAGCGAAGTGGCTGAGCCCTCTGCATCAGAGGAGCAGCTGAGGGAAGCTGGGACCGAGCAGGACTGACTGTGAGGCTCCAGGGAGGGAGGTATAGTCTACCGCAGCAGACGCCGTGCCTGTGGACTGTTGGGCTGATCGAGGCCTTTTTTTTACTGCATATCATTCGCCTTCTTGCTCTGGTCGAGTCCAGAGAGAACAATAAATGACCTCTAACTTAACTCTGTCTCCTTTTCTTATGCAGACACTCCCACCAGTGGTTTAACGCTTTTGTAGAAAAATCTATATTTTTCCAGATAACTGGTTCAGTAAAGCTAACTAAAGATTAGATTTCCCTGTTTATAGAGAGATGATAATAGATTTTGCCTTTCAGTTCAAAGTCTGAACTGTGATTCTAGCTCTACAGTGGAGCCTAACTATGCGCTGAAATACAGACCTGGATGTTCATTGGTTCCTAGAGGTGGTGAAACATGTTGCTGAGGTCATGTGATCAGTAGTGAACAGTAGTGAACAGTAGCCTCTTCTTAGCTTCCAGCTAATTTAACTTGATCTTTGTTAGATTCTGAAAGAGGCCCACAGCACTACTACTCATTACCATACTATGAGCAGGTTTCCCTCATCTTCATCCATTAGCAGTCTGCTTCCACAGGGGGTCACTATAAAGACCAAACATCCTCTGATCCTGCTGAACTGAAAAGTGCGGCTGATCAACTCTATATATTATTCCCTATAATATTCCCTCCTCCAGCATCCAGTGCCTCATGGAGGAGGAGCTCTGCTTCTTCTCACATCTTGTTTGTGACGGTTTTAGATGTGTGGAGCTTTTTACCTTCTGCTCCGGCTACTAATATGAGCCCAAAGAGACAAGTTCTGGTTTGGATGTTCGACATTTCCTGCCTTACTGGAAGTTCTCTATTTTCTATTTTGAAGATTGGCCGAGTCGATTCAACTCCATGGATGCAAATTAACGGTGAATTCTTCTTCAATATCAGTGTCAGATTATGTGACTGGAATTAAAGACTTTGTTTTAAGACATTTATTTCTGATCTGAACAAGGGGAGGGGGGGAATAACTCTAGGTGATTAATGGGTAGGTGACAGTCGATGTAGACCTGCTTGTTGTGTCACCACAGAGCTGTAGTCAGAAAATGTATATAAGGCTGACCAGGAAATAGCCAGTGAACACTGAGGCCCACAGTGGGAAGGAGGCAGAACCTCAGGGTCAATCTACTCTGATCTAACAGGACGATTAATGATATTTTCTAAATAAAGACTAACTATACTTTCCTACAGCCTTTGCTGAAAAATAGATGCATATATTTAAACATCCATGCTTTCTGGATAAAAGCTGATTGGTTCAGCTATTGAGTTCTGAGGCTAACATCTTTTCCATTTTCATTACTTTCCTACTTTTATCAATAATAATTCTGCATAAAATGGATATTTACAAATAATAATGTCCACATAAATGATTTAATAAGTTTAATTAAGTAGTTTATTTATCTATGATTTCACAGATGCCTTTTTTCTCTTTACCCCATAAAACACAAAATCTGATATAATATTTTCATCTGTTTTATTCTTCCTTTGTGTTTTTTTTACCCTATTTATTTCTGCCTGGCGGGCCAATCAGAGCGCAGAGATTTGTTTTGAATGTCTGGATGCAAAGTGGGCGGGGTCTGTACTCGCATTCTTATGAATTGAGAAATGGCCGCTGACTTCAGACTCTCCTCTCCTCCTGTAGATTCACCGATGCAGTAAAACGTTAACCAACCAATGGGCAGAAGGTGATTCTCTAAGACACGCCCCCTCCTCATTTGCATATTGAGGCAATAATGAAAAAAAAAAACGACAGGCAGAAATAAATAGGGTAAAAAAAATGCAAAGGAAGAATAAACCTGATAAAAATATTATCACATGCACATAAATAAATACTTTTAAATATAAGTTAGTCCAAAAAAGCCCAGCAGAGGATGAACTTCCTGCGGCAGCTGAAGAAATTCAACCTGCCTGGACAACGATGGTGCAGTTCTACTCCTCCATCACTGAGTCCATCCTCACTTCCTCCATCACCATCTGGTTTGCTGGAGCAACCGCTAAGGACAAGAGCAGACTGCAGCGCGTCATCCGGTCTGCACAGAAGGTGATTGGCTGCAATCTCTCCAGGAGCTGCACGCCTCCAGGACTCTGAGGCGTGCAGGGAAAAATTGTGGCTGATCCATCGCACCCCAGTCACAGATTATTTCAGTCACTTCCCTCTGGCAGGAGGCTGCGGCCCATCAGCACCAGAACCTCCCATCACAAAAACTGTTTTTTCCCATCTGCTACCGGCCTTATCAACAAGGCCAAGAGCCGCCCGTGACACTGGACAATGTTTCTTTCCCCCATTCAGGATTTCTGTGTTACATTAACGCACAGTCTACGGTGTCTATATATATATATTCTATCTTATTTTGTTTTTTTCTGCACCAACAACACCAAGTCAAATTCATGTAAGTGCAAACCTACTTGGCAATAAACCTGTTTCAGATTCTGATTCTAAGTGATCCAGTGAGTAATTGGCTGTTGCCATGGCCACCCCTGGCCCCCCATCTAGCTCCATCCCAGTCTCCCCAGTCTGCCTGTGGGAGACCAGTCTCACCAGTCTGCCTCTGGTGACCAGTCTGCCTGTGGGTGGAGGAGCAGAAGAGAAATCTTCCCGCTGGGACTCTGGATGCTGAGTTAATGTTGCAGCAGCTTTGGAGCTGGTGTCATCATTACGTCAGGAATCAGTCAACTTCTTCCAATGTCGTTCATCCACCGGATGTGTCGTCATTCACAGCCTGTGACCACCCCCCCTCCATGCAGTCTGGAGATGTGCTGCTCAGCTCTGGACTGGGGGAAATCCTCCACTGAGCTGCGTCATCAATACGTCACCACTCCCATTCACCGACGGTCAGGTACCACAGAAGCCGCCATGTTCGCATCTCTAGCAGGGTAGCGGTCTCTGGGCGAGCCGATGATGCGGTCAGAAGCACAAACACTCCTCCCGCATTGATCCCGCATCCCGTCCCGCAGCCCACGGCATCCGAACACCAAAGCAGAACAAGACTTCCACGGAGAAGGGAATCCACGCAGCGTGGAGAGGGGCTCTATGCTGAGTAGGATGCCTTAGACTGAGAGGCAGATCCCGGCACAAGATGGAGGTAACCAGCGCTAGCAGCGAGGTGAGTGGATGGAGCCGCGCTCTGCGTGGGGATCCTGTGGGTGACGTTCAGTTAGCTCTGCTGACCCGTTAGCTCAGGCTAACAGCTGCGCTGGGATGCTAACCCGTTAGCTTAGGCTAAGAGCTGCTCTGGGATGCTAACCCGTTAGCTCAGGCTAACAGCTGCCCTGGGATGCTAACCCGTTAGCTCAGGCTAACAGATGCCCTGGGACGCTAACTCGTTAGTTCAAGCTAACAGCTGCTCTGGGATGCTAACCTGTTAGCTCAGGCTAACAGCTGCTCTGGGATGCTAACCTGTTAGCTCAGGCTAACAGCTGGTTGACTGGGACCGATAATAAATGAGTGTTTTAGTCTCTCTGACTGAACTCCCGCTGAAGCTTTAGTTTCTGCTATTTCTGATTTTTATCTCATAAAAGAAGCTTTATTTTTTTATCTTTGTTTCTCTTTAAGCAGCTCAGGATAAGTTAACTTCACAGTTAGCTTGCTACAGTTAGCATTAGCAAATTATTATTACTTATGAGCAAACTCTATATCTTTACTAATTACAGACTCCTTAATGCTTTAAAACATTAAAGCTTTTATTTATTTTTAACTGTTTTCAGTCTGATAACCAACTTAGCGCTGGTTTCATTGGCAGCAAGACTTTATTGATTATTGATTTAAATAAACTAGATCAGATAGATCAGTTTTATAGATGTTAAACTCAGCAGAAGGTGATTTAAATAAAGCTATACTACATTTTAAAGCCACTGCTTCCCTTTTCAATTCGTTACTTTTAATCAAATCTGTACTGTAAAGTGCCTTGAGATGACATGTGTTGTGAATTTGGCGCTATATAAATAAACTGAATTGAATTGAATTGAAATTACTGAAAACAGAAAATTAAACTTTTAAAGGAAAGTCTCTTTGAATCCTTTTCATCTGCGTGTTTTTAAGATGAGACATGTTTGCAAGTTTTCATCTCTATAATCCTGAAAATCTCTGAGATTAACAGCAACTCTTTACATTTAAACTGGGAGGTTTTAATGGTTCCAGTCTTTTCCATTTGCTCTTTAGTCCTTTAATTAAAGTTATAAACTGAGTGACTTTCATCTCTGCCTTTATTTAATCATTAAAACATTACATCTCTCTTCTGGAAATATTAGATCCTTATGTTTGACCTGTGATTAAAAATAATCCACTTTCTCATAATAATCAGATCAAACACTGAGTTTTCATTCTGATAAATTTAATTAATCTAACCTAATTAATCAACACTGTGTTATTGGGTTGTCACGATACTAAGCTTTTCAACTCGATACCGATACTAAGGAAAATATTCGATACTCGATACCATTTTCGATACCACAAGGATAAAAACAAAGACTCCAAAAGTCTACAGAAATATTTTCATTAATAAATAAACACAATAAAGGTTGTATGCTGTGCATAATATTAAGCAAGCTTGATAAAAAACTTAAAAAATTCAAATTAAGTGTTCCTTCCTTGGCTATGCTTTGCACACATAACAATGACACTAGCCAAACCAGTTAAGAAACAAAAATAATTCTCAAATAAGTCTGAAACTGAAAAGAGCACAGAATTATTCAATCACACAGTGTTCAGAAAGTGCATTGTCCTCTATTCTGCACTTTAGATGAATGACTGCTTAGGTGCTTCTGGTGACGGCACTGTATCGATACTTTTAAAAACGAGTATTGTATCCGGATACAACTTTTCAGTATCGATACTTTTTTGAGTTTCGATACTTTTGACAACCCTACTGTGTTATAAACTAAGAAGCAGACAATTGTGCCCTAAATTTCTTAGACTTTATTAAAGTTAAAAACATATTAACTCATAAATATGGTTAATGATGGATGTGAAAGTACTATAAAAGCCTCTGCATACTTTTATCTGGAACCTTTTAGAATAACGTCAGCATGTGCTGCTCAGATGGAAACCTTTGACTAGCATAAAAACACAGATTTTAATTTATTTTTATCTTGAAGAGAATTATTGTATCAGACTTTCTAAA